CCCATAACCCCACAACCCCACAACAGCCTACTGAGTGGGGGGAAATTGAAAGCATTCCCCGTAATAACTGGAATAAAACAAGGGTACATACTGTCACTACTTCTTTTGCAGTTTTTTTGTTTGTTTTGTTTTGTTTTGTTTGGCCGGGGCTGGGTTTGAACCCGCCATCTCTGACATATGGGGCCAGTGTCCTACTCTTCTGAGCCACAGGCACCGCCCCATACTGTCACTACTTCTATTCAACATAGTGCTATAAGTCCTAGCCAAAGCTTCACCAAGAGAAAGAAATAAAGAGCATCCAAATCAGGAAAGAGGAGGTCAAACTATCATTTGCTAATGATATGATCTTGTATCCAGAAGACTCCTGGAATTGATAACTAAATTCAGCAAAGCCTCAGGTTACAAAGTCAATATACATGAATCAGTAGCATTTCTGTATTCAAATAACAGTCAAATCGAGAGTCAAATACAAGATTCAATACCATTCACAATAAACTAAAAAGAAAATAAAATATCTAGGAATATACTTAACAAAAAAAATTTTTTGAGAATCTACAAGAACTACAAAACACTGATGAAAGAAACTGGAGATAACACAAACAAATGGAAAAACATCCTCTGCTCATGGACTGGTAGAATCAACATTATTAAAATGTCCATACTGCTGAAAGTGATTTACTGATTCTGCCCAATGCCAATCAAAATCCCAGCACCATATCTCACAGATCTAGAAAAAAAAATAATCCTAAGCTTCATTGGAACTAAAAAAAGAGACTGAATAGGAATCTTAAGTAAAAAGAACAAATTTGGAGGCATCACATTACCTAACTTCGAATTATACTACAAGGCTACAGTAACCAAAACAGCACGGTACTGATATTAAAGTAGAGACAGAGACCAACGGAACAGGTTAGAGAACCCCAAACTAAAACCATCTTCCTACAACTCACTGATCTCTGACGAAAGAGACAACACCATTTAGTGAGGAGAAAGAAGCCCCATTCAATAAATGGTCCTGGGAAAATAAAATAGCTCAGTGCAGGAGAATGAACAGGACCCCTATCTCTCACCATGTACCAAAATTAATTCAAGATGCATCAAAGACTTAAATGTCAGGCATAAAACCACAAAAATTTTAGAAGAAAAAGTAGAAAAAACTCTTTTAGACATTGGCCTAGGCTAGAATTTATGACTGAAGACCTCAAAGGCAAATATAATAACAAAAATAAATAAATAGGACTTAATAAAACTAAAAAGCTTCTGTACAGCAAAGGAAATAACAAGGGAATGGACAAGCTACAGAATGGAAGAAAATATTCCTAAACTACACATCTGACAAGGGACTGATATCCAGAATCTATGCAGAACTCAAACACATCAGCAAGAAAAAAAAAAAAAAAAAGCAGGCAAAATCATTAATGAAAGTTTTCTTTTTTTTAAGAAGACAGATAAATAGCCAAAAAACATATGAAGAAAAGTTCAACATCCCTAATCATCAGGAAATTACAAATTAAAACTGCAATATGATACCACCTTGCCTCTATCAGAATGGCCATTGTTAAAAAGTCAAAAAACAATTGATGCTGGCATGGATGCAGAAAGGAACACCTATAGACTGTCAGTGGAACTTCTTATTAGTAAAACGTCTATGGAAAACAGTATGAAGATTCTTCAAAGAAATAAATGTAGATCTACCATTCAATCCAGAATCTCACTGCTGGGTATCTACCAAAAGGAAATAAAGTCACTTTATCAGAAAGACACTTGCACTCAAAGGTTTACTGCAAAACAATTCACAATTGCAAAGATGTAGAATCAACCTAAGTTCCCTTTAATTCAGGAGTGGATAATAAAATGTGATATATACATACACAGAGAGAGAGAGAGGTGGCCATAAAGTTTGTGTGCGATTTTAAATTACACACTATTTTAAATTCCACATGAACTTTATGGTCACCCAGTATATAAGATCTGACAATTAAGTTCGGTTATGAACTTGCCACTAAGCCCTTACATTGGCAGCACCATACAAACAACTCAGCAATGTTCCATAACCCTGTTATATCTCACAGGTGTCTCACAGCTGTGTTCATGTTGATGTGTGTCAGAGTGTTACTGAGTAGTGTTCATTATTGTTGTTGCACATTTTTGTGTGCCATCGCGAGAATGTTGGAGCTTGAATGACAGCAACAATACTTGTAAAATTCTTATTAAAATTGGCAAGAGTGGAAGAGAAAACAGGGACACACTAGTCCAAGTTTGTGGGGATTGTGTCAAGAAGAAAACGTCAGTGTGCCAATGGATTAAATGTTTTTCTGAGGGAAGAGAAGGTGTCACTACTGAAGAAAGATCAGGGCAGCCAGTAACAAGCAGAACTGATGAAAACATGGCAAAAATTCATTGACTTGTGCATCAAAATCATCCATTGACTGTGAGAAGCATAGCAGACCAGTAAACATCAATAGAGAACTAGGGAAATCTTACCAAAAGTCTTGGCCAACAGCTCATGGCTGTTGCATCATGACCATGCACCAGTTCCTATGGCACTGCCTGTGAGGAAGTTTTGAGCCAGGAAACAAGTAACAATATTGGAACTCCATTCCTGCTCACCTGTATGACCCCTGATGACTTTCCCTTTACCCAAAGATAATAGGAAATACTGAAAGGAAGACATTTTGATAACATTTGGGATTTCAAGGGTTATACAAGAGTAATGGCTTTGATGGCCATTCCAGAAAGAGTGTGGACAAGACACTGGTGTCAGTGCATAGAGATATTCGGCAATGAGGTATGAAGCACTTTTTCTAGGATGTGTTCACGAACTTAATCGTCACATCTCATACACACACAAACACACATGCACCATGGAGTACTACTCAGCCATAACAAGAAATGAAAGAATGTCATTTGCAGCAATGTGGGTGGAGCTTGAGACCATTATCCTAAGTGAGGTATCTCAGGAATGGAAAACCAAACACCACATGTTCTCACTAAGCAGAAGCTAACAGATGGGCACAAGCAATATAAGGACATGAGAAACCAAGGAGGGCAGGGAGCGGGAGGGCGGGTGTGGAATAAAAACATACCTAGTGGGTACCACGAACACTGTTCTGGCGATGGGTACCCCAAAAGCCCATCGAAGCATTATACAAGATACCCACGTAACAAAAACGTTCATACCCCCTTAATCAATGTTTTGAAATAAATAACAGATATTCCAAAAAAATATTGTACTACGTTTTCTGCATTTTAGTGCATGTGGAAGCGGTTACTGTGGTGCAGGGGGGAGTCAAAAAATTCAGCAGATCTGTTTTCCTTTCCACTATCACAGATTAATGTGTTCAGTTTACCACCATTGCCATCATCAACATCATCGTTACCAACTAACATGTATTAAGTGCTTGTTGTATGCTACATACTTAACTTGCTCTATCTCATTTAATCCTTGCAAACAACTCAGTGACACAGACAAGGAGACTAAGGCGCAGAGGGCTGCACAGCAAGCCAACAGAAAGGCTGAACAAACCTGCAACTGTCCATCTGCCTCTGGGACCCGAGCCCATAGCAGGGGCTTTGCTGGTCACCACCCTAAGAGAGACTAGTTTCTGGCTCTGAGGTCTCAGTATAGACTCAGGATATTGGGCAAAACAGCTGCCCCCATGTAGGCCAGAAGAGAAGGCCTGTATGAGTCGGAGGAGGGGTCACTGGCACTACTGGGCAGCCTGTGGGGAGCACAGCCAGAGGAAGGAAGCAGCCCCAGTACTAGCCCTTAGCCTCGAGGCACACAAAGGACAAGGGCTGCCTGGGGGACAGACCCCGAGTCTTTTCCCTGCCTATCTGCAACATCCTACTTGGATCCCTTATTTCAACAAGAAGACTCCTCTTAAACTGTGGCCCTTGTGTGTAACCAGAGCCTTCCCAGAGTGCTGGCTTTCTTAAGACCAAAATAAAGCCTTGGATTGGGGTTTCATCCTGATGCTAAATACTTCATCTCCATTGTTTTCATTGGTGGGGTTATTTGGTAGAGAATCTGAAAACACACAAAGAGAGATGTGCAAGATTTAACTCTCTCTTTCATTCCTTAGGAAGAATTGTTTTCCAGGTAGAGAAGCGTGCAGCAGCATTGATTGCAGTGCTGGGGGCAGGCAGGGCCTGATGGCTGCCCCAATGCAGTCCTTTTGCCTTAGAAGACAAGCCTGTTCACTAGCGTGGGTACTAAGGACCACATAGAAAATATAGAGTAGAATTTCAGTCTAGAAAATTTAAATTGTAATTGATTGTCACGTACATATTCTGCTGGATACTAATGTAACATAACCACCATGAAAAGTTCCACAAATACATATAGATGATTTACAATATCAAATAAGTGTCCTAGAGTCTTACAAATAAACCAGGCCTGTGGCATTAGGTGAGTTGCTGACAGAGCCCAGGGGGAAAGGCAGATAGGTAACAAGGGGCAGGGAGAGACCTGGAATCTGAGGAACCCGTGTTCAGGTCTCAGATCAGGCTCAGAAGCTTCTCAGCCCCTGCTCCATACCACACCTGTCTATAAAAGGCGTTGATAATAACATCCCACCTGCATGGTGCTAATTGAGATCCTGCAGGGAAGAGTTCCAGGTGGTAGTGGAGGCTTCCTAAACACCTTTCCTGCTTATCAACCAAGATTGTTGTAACAATGCTGAATTTTACTGAGCCCTGCACTCCTGGAAAACAGCAAACATTAGTTTAAAAGTCACCCCCTACCTTTTATGTTTGCAGGAATGATGTACTGCAAAGAACCATCCTCCCCCTAAGACTCACTTACGACTCACAGATGCCGCCTTTCATCTAGGACAAGTCCGACACAGACCCTCCGAATTCTCATTCTTTGCCTTATAAACGATCAGGGGAACTGTTTTGTCCCAAATAGTTCAGTAAGAACATTGGGAACAAAATACTCGCTAACAAGATGTTAGTTCGATTTTCCTCCTCCCCCCGGCCCCTCAGCCCTGGCCCACCTTAGCACGAGTCAGCAGCCAGCCCCGCTCAGCACAGCCTGAGTTACTGTCCTCATCTGTTCACCGCTCTTCTTCACACCGCTTCCTTCCAGCCTCGTCTACTCCTCCCTACAAGAGAAAAATCCTTTTTGTCTCACCTCTGAGAAACCTGTGCCCCACCCCCATCTGTGATTTTATTCTAGAGTTTCAGGTACCCGGAGTTAATCACAGTCTGAAAACAGGTGAGTACAATACAATAAAAGGTTTTGAGAGAGAGAGAACACATTGACTTCACTTTTACTCACTTTTATTACAGTATATTATCATAATTGTTCTATTTTATTATTTTTAATCTCTTACTGTGCCTAATTTATAAATTAAACTTTATCATAGACATGTATGGAAAAATTCTATTTAGAGGGTGCCAAAAAGCGTATACACGTTTTAAGAAAGGAAAAAAAACTATTAAAATGGTAATAATATACCAATAACAAAAGATGTATACGACTAATGTTCGAGGGCCTCTTATAACTGCAGAAGTCAAACACGACTTGAGTATTACAATTTTAATACAATTTTTTCTTTCTTAAAATGTGTATACGTTTTTTTCTTTTTTTGGCACCCTCTGTATAGTGTCTGGTCTATCCGCAGTTTCAGGCATCCACTGAGGAGCTTTGAATATGTCTCCTGCAGAGAAGGGAGAAATGAGACCACTGTATTATGGTCAGAGAATCCCTATTACAATAACCCCTTCCTCCTCCACCTCTTGCAATAATCCTTCAAACAAACTCTAAATCTAGATTTGTTTTTTCTTTGACAATTACAAGTAAGGGTAACTGACAATGGCCATGGCATGACTCTAAGGCTCTCTCAGACTCAACAATTGTCCTCTAAAACTGATTTCTAGTCATAGAAAGTGCACCTGAACCAAGAGTCTGGAGCAAATAACACAGCCATAGTGTAGTAAAGCCACCCCAGAGGCTGCAGTGGCTCTCACAGATGAATTCCAATTATCCTTTCTTTCACCATTTTACTCTCATCTTTGAAGGCTGGTATCACATTCCAAGCCCTGGGTGAAGTATCTGAGTCAGCCCAAGTCACATACCTGGGTGGGAAAGTCAGGAGGCCAGAACAGGGAGACTCTGCCTCTGTTGGTTACGGAAGGCAGAGGCCACGCCCTGCATCCCAGCAGGGTTACAGGCAGTGAGTACAAAGCTCCATGTTAGGCAGCCAGAAGAAAAGTGATAAATGTCTGTTATATCTTTTCTGTTTTGTTTGGGGGGAGTTTATTGTTGTTAAACAAGATTCAAAAACTTGCTCGCTCGCTCTCTCTCAGTCAATAACATTGATTATATATATATATATAAAAAGAAAAGCCTACCCATAACGATGTGAGCCTGAGGGCTTCACAGAGCAGCGTGCAGACTCACAGGTGAGGCATCTCTCAACCCCCTCCTTCGAATTGCCCCCTGCCCACACCTTTAGCTTTAATTGATCAGCCCAGATGCTGAGGCAAGAAGGGTTCTTCTTGCTGACCTCCACAGTCTGAAGCTCCTGACAATCGTCCCCTAAGCCTGAGCCACTTATCATTGAAGAGGACCCTGGGCCCCATGTGACAGGAGAAGAGAAGGTGTCAGCATTAACCCGCTACCTGATCTGCTGGGGCCTCTGCCAAACGCCAGTGGGGAGCTGCAATCAATTGTCATGCAACGTGCCAGCGTAACAGCTGGTGACCGGCCATTAGGGTAATCCACCAAAGCTTGGGAATTTCAAGAACCCTTCAGCACACACAGAAAAAGAGAGTTATTGCAAAGCCAGGTGTTCTGGCCTAATTGCACGAACCAGTTGGAAATGTTAATCTGCCCCCACGAACTGCATTTTGCATGTGAGGAGTGTGGAAGAGAGACTCCCAGCCAAGGCTTACAGGGGAGAGCAAATACTTTGTGCCCTCATTTATTTACTCCTTTGAGGTCATTTCCAAGCCTTTGAGCAATAGAATCACAGAGAAATGTGACCTTGAGGGCATCAGCTCTGTGTCCTGCCGCAGTGCACAGCAGCGATCAAACTGTGCCAACCTGGCCCTCAGCAAGACATGCCCCTGCTTCCTAGAAACCTGCCTGATCCTGCCTCTCAGATGACATAGCAGCTAGACGTGCCCCGAGTTCAACCAGGAACTCTCATTCTCACCTGAGGAGCCAAAGGCACCTGTTCTGGGAGGCAGTAAAACCTGGTCATTAGGAGAAGTTCAGAAGCGGACGCAGCTGGCTTCAGATTCGTGCACTGTCCTGGCTGGATGTGTGACTTGGAATAAGTTGCCTAATGTCTCTGAGGTTTGGTTTTGTTTTTTGCAGGTGAGGATAGAAGGAAGTTTCCCTCCTTTCTGTATCTCCCTCACACACTGACATAAGAAATAGCTCAGGTGACTAAGGCTAAGCCCTTAGCAAAGTCTGTGGCTCACAGTGAGGACACAGTAAAATCGCTATTATTATTAATTCATTAGATTGGCTAATTTTATTCATTGGCAGGAATCAGGAATCTCAGAAATCAGAGTGTCTTCTTCGTGGCTGCATACTTCAAGACAGCACAGCTTTCTCACTAATCAGCGCCTTCATCCTCGTCTCTGCAGGCCCTGTCACTGGTATTTAGGGCTCTCTGCCATCTGGACTTCACTGCTGCTTCACGTTAACCATGGGTTTGCAACCCCATTCGTCGCCCCCACGTGCTCTACCCCGCCCCCTGGAATGCCCTTTCTGTCTACCACACCCTCCCAGACCTACGGTCATTCAAAGCCCAACTCAAATCCCGCCTTCTCCACAAAACTTACTCTGGCTGCTCCAACTCGTTCATTCAAAACCAGCCGCTGTCCAACCATCAGCCCTAGGCGAGGCCTGTGCTTCCCTGAGCCTGGGATAGAATGTGGACAGGAGATCCTCAGTCCCTGCCCTCCCTGCCCCTCCAATCTCTCACATCCCTGAACTGCAAAGGTACTTCACAGTTTATTCCCACCGATGCAACATCATTCATAGCCTCTGGATGCTAAATTCTTTAGAGAAATGACACAAGGCAAAACTGTGAAAGAAAGAACACAGACGCTGAGATCAGACAGTCTTAGGTTCGAGTCCCTGTGCTGTCTCTTGCCGGCTGTGCAAGCCTGGCATGGACTTATTATGCTCTGTCACCTCTGTCTGTCACTCTCTGTCACAATGTGGGGATTGCTGGCTCCTGCCCCAACCAGCTGCATCCCCTTTCTGACATCCTGGCATCACTGTCCCTTAGCTTTGCTCACAGTAGGATCTGAGGAATACCCCAATCTTTCTCTGTACTAGACACCAAGCAATGTACTCTCTCCTCACAATCTGTGCACCACATACAAAAAATAACACCAGGGTCTTCTTTTTCTAATCAGTTCACGGAACAGTTGAGCCAGCTATTTTGCAGCATTCTTTTCCTCCTTTTCTGCAAAGCTGTTTGTAAGTATATTTTTAAGCTGTCTGGGAAACATACATATCTTGTTATTCAAGAGCTATGTTACCACAACTCTGACTTCTGCTGGGGAGAAGGATCTAGCAGAGAGTAAAACAAACTTTGGTTTCTTTTGAAACAAATTGCACTAGTTCTGTACAATATTATCTGAACCCACGCAGAGTGGTGAGAATGCAGCAAAGCCCAGAAATCTCCCTGGGTCACAGGTGTGCTCTCAGGGTCTGCACTTACCCAAATGTCTTGGACACAGTCAGTGCAAAAGGACCCCTAGCCCTACTTGTTGCCTCTTTATACCATGTTCTCTTTCTCTTTGTAGCTTGAACGGTGCTTTAGGGTGGCAATGAAGTACGAGATAAACTGATTTGCCTTTGATCACAGAATATTTGTTCTAAGCTGGGTATATCAGCTCATGACTATAATCCTAGCACTCTGGGAAGCTCAGATGGGAGGATCCCTTGAGCTCAGGAGTTCAAGACCAGTCTGAGCAAAAGCAAGACTCCATCTCTACTAAAAATAGAAAAAATTAGCCAGATGTGCCTGTGTCAGGCACTACAGTCCCAGCTGCTCAGGAGGCTGAGGCAGGAAGATCATTTGAACCCAGGAGTTTGAGGTTACTGTGAGCTGTGATGATGCCACAGAACTCTAGCCTGGGTGACAGAGTTAAAACTCTGTCTCAAAAAAAAAAGAATATTTTTTCTAACTACTTCCACTCTGAGTCTAACCAAAAATATCACTTGAGGTGGGTTGTCAAAAGAGACCACCGCAAAAATTGATCAAAAAGATAATTTAAAAACTATAAAAGGGAATTAATTCATCAAAGTGCTGAGAACAGAAGACAGGGTGGGGAAGGAAAAAAAGCCACAGGGTGACTTAAGTCACGCTGATGGCAGTGACAGAGGACTGCAATGAGACCAGGGCCACTTTTCAAGGAAGAGACCCCTCCCTTGTCACTCCCCAGCCCCAAATCAGCAGCTGAAGACCTAGAGCGGGAGGGGCTGCCATGGAGGTCACTGAAGTGAGAAGACACCAAGCATCAGACTTCCGGCATTTTCCCCCAACAATAATCTTCCCAGTTTATTCCCACTAATGCAATGTCCTTCATGGCCTCTGGAAGCTGTAAAATCTGAAGAAATTGGAAGCTCTTCCTGGACATGGGTAGGACTTTCACAGTGGAACTGGCATCCCCAAGTAGTAGCATCCCAATTTTGCATCTTTCTCCTTGCCCACACACCCCAAAATGAACTTTCAGGTATACATGGCCTACCCACAGGTGCAAAGCCGCCTCCTTCCAAAGGAAATCAGTGCTCCTCAGCCCAGTCCTCCACTCATCAGTCTACACACAGGCATCAGTGTTCCTCAGCCCCGTCCTCCACTCATCAGTCTACACACAG